CCTCCCTAGCCATTTTCTAAATTTTCTTGCTCTATCTACCAGGCCGCAGTTTTACTGATAATTTGTTATATCAAAGATACTCTTTACTATACTTTGTTCTTCTGTTCCTCATTCTCGACTTGAACTTTGAGCATATACGGACTTAGATTTGCAGGGATCCTAGTGATCATAGCTGCACTTTAAGATTCTGAATTTTTTTTGAAGATCCATCTTAATCCTGAACAGTGTTTTAAAAATTGGTGACCCGATCTAGAATTGGGGGATCCGATGAAAAAATGGGATTCGCCCCAATTGACACGAAGAATCAGTATGCTGATTTCATAAATCAGACATGTCATCGATTCTGATGTCAGCAACCTTGATTCTTGCGTTGCTTTTTCTGAACCGATTTTAATGGGGGTACTTCCATAATTTTTGGTAAAAAAAAGAGTATACATAACCCAATTGTGCCCCCAACAAATGGCATCACATGAGCCACATCATCACGTGGGCCACATCATAACATGGTAACCTCTTAAGCAAGTGTGAACCTTTTATAGATGTTTAACTTATGGGACTGTACACAATGAGACCATTTACTTATTGTACAAGGAGGTCAGTCCGGATCCTTTATATTACACATTTCAAAATTCTTGTGAATCGATCCCAAGTTGAAGGAAGAAATATTCATTGATCAAATCATTCACTCTAGAGTCTGATAGATTCATTGAAGAAATGATTGATCAGATGAGAATAGAATAAAGATAAAGTCCCATTCTACATATCAATCTCGACAACAATGCAATTTGTAGTAAGAGGAAAATCCATTAACTTATAATTCGTGAAGATTCAAGTCCCAGTTGCTTATAACCATCCGATGTGAAATTTGATAGCTTGAGTGTGTTACAAAGTTCGAGAAAATTTCTTTTGAACTTGTCCTTAGCCAATGGAATAAATGCAACCACCCAACTTCACATCCAAAGGTCAAGATTAATTATGACTACTTTGCTCAAAAGATAAATGGTCTAATTGTATATTTTTCCTTAACCTAATTTACATCTTCATTGTGGGACAATTTGTCCCATTTCTTCCTATTTCCTCATAGGGAATTACTTAATAAAGTTTATCTCACCTACTCTTTCTCTCTCTCTCTCCTATGCTTAGGCCCATGACCATACCCCAATTACCTCACTCACTCTCTCTCTTCTCCGCCTAGCCCCATGACCACCCTGCCCAACCTCAACATATCTCTCTATATCTATATAGTTCTCTCTCTCTCTCTCTCTCTATATATATATATATATATATATATATAGAC